TAAGGCACCTGTTACTAGTAGCGATGCACTTGTTTCTAGTAGCGAACATTGTTTCTAAACGTGGTGATTTGCTGCTCTGCTCGGTGAAGCGTAGGTAAGTGGTGCAGTGACGTGATATGTGTTGCTGTGTGATGCGGTGACCTGTGATGTTGTGAATTTGTGGTGAAGTTTGATGCCGGACACGTTTCCCCCCGGCGCTTCCCGCATCCATGCAACACCTCCGCCAAAAGGCCAGAAATCAAACCAACTGAACTAGGAGCCCCTAGTAGCTTCTTGTTACTAGTAGTAAGAATGCTCCTAGTAGCGATGCCAGGAGCCCCTAGTAGCGTCCTTGCTCCTATTGGCGATGCCATGGGATGCGCTTTGCTCCTAGTAGCTACTTGCTCCAGAACACCATGAACGTCACAGTCCCAAAAAGTGTGCTTTTCGTAACAAGAAGCTATTCGGAACAAGTGCCACGCTACTAGTAACAGGTGCCTTACTAGTAGTAACAAGATGTTTTTTAGAATTAAATTAACTAATAGCTTTTTTGTTACTCTTTGGTGACGTGATCACGACGACACGAGAACGATTGTAGCGCCCACCTTCAGACCTCGTCGGATCGGGAATGGCTTAGCGGCTTAACCAAAGCCCTCCTTAGTAAGGCATTGTCAAGCACAGGCTTTCTTGGGTCTGAGTGCATAATGCATTGTGGCCTTGCAAGCTGGCCTCCTTTCTCTCGATGTGAAGCTTGTTGACTTCCAGCTCAGCTTTTGCTCACTCCCTCAAGGTTTATCAGACTATGTGCTCTTCGCGTCTTGCAGCACAAGAAGCCATTGCCCAAAGACCAAAGAGTCAGTGTGGAGAAGAGTCGGGTCGTTTGAGTTGAAGCTAGTAGATTCCTTTCCTAATTTGAATTCTAATTAATCTTAATTCTAATTACTAATTTTTTGTTTCTACTATATAGCTTCTTGTTACTACTAGTAAGGCCCTTGTTACTAGTAGCGATGCCCTTTGCTCCTAGTAGCGTGCTTGCTCTTTGTTCAATTAAAGCATCCAACCTAGCGATGGCCACCCTCCCTAAGAGCATCGGTGACTCTTGTGTTTCCCTCTCAAGGTTCGATCTCTCCAGGGCCATGGATCTGATGCAGACCTGTTTGGATGAGCGAGTACGGCGCTTGCCGCTGCGAGAGGCCAGACTGGGGGGACTGAGACAAGCATAAGATGCAGTAGTATGCAACGTCCTTGGACCGTGACTCGCCCACGCAGAGGAAACACAGAAATACTAGTAACAAGATGCCTTACTAGTAGTAAGGAAGAAGCTACTAGTAGCTCCTGGCATTACTACTAGTAACAAGAAGCTACTAGTAGCTAGAAGCTACTAGGTGGAGGCCATCGCTGCTAGTAACAAGCGGAAATACATCAAGCCTCTCGACGTTTGATGCTCAGGAAGATGTTCTTTCGGACCTCAGCTATGGAGCGATGTGACATGGCTTTCTGGTTTGGGCGATCGAAAGCGTGTTTGGAAGTCGCGGTCTCTCAGAAGAGATAGAGAGGGGTGGAGAAGTAAGAGAAAGAGAAAGAGTGGGAAAGGAGGGCAGTTGCAGAGAAAGAGACAAAAGAAGTCAAAAGGAAGGACCTCTTTGTAAAGGGAGTAGGTTGGAGGAGGCTGGGAGGATTTCGAGCTTCGAGGTACTGGCATGGCCGGGATCGAAAATGCCGACCGTGCCTGGTGGTTCGCATCGAGCGCTTTGCAGAGCTCATCAAGGACGGTGACGTGACACGTGACGCATGACACGACGGCTGCTGAGTGTTACACAGTGCCACACAATGACACGGGTTTCCGTTGGAGGACAAGGAGAGATGTGTCAGAATGACAATTTTTGTTTTGGAATACGCAGTTCGATTTGCCATGGTCCTGGCCTTAGAAAAGGAACGAAAACGAAGGCACGAGATGGTCAATCTTGCTAAGGTCCCCGGGAGAGTGGAGAATTGGGTGGTTCCGTCACGTTTCCACACCTCGCAGACCGAAGAACAACCGAGTGAGCAAATACCACTAGTAGCTTCTTGCTCCTCGTAGCGATGCCAGGAGCGCCCCTAGTAGCGTCCTTGCTCCTAGTAGCGATGCCCTTTGTTACTAGTAGCATATCTAAAGTACCAAGTTGTGAAAACGTTGCATAGCACCAAGTACGGCAGCTTCATCCATCCGGCTGATTCGGCACTCAAAATTCGCTGTCCTCCTGGCCAGGTTGTACTCGTCGATTTCGAGAATGCATCGGACGTAGTGTCTTTGTATCAGCTGCCCAGCATGTGCAAGGATCTCAAAGGAGAAGTCGCGATACTCAATACGGACACTTAATGCTCGCAGATGCTCTCAACATCCCAATGGCTATGCATGGTAACATCAAGAAATTAAGGGGCTCCTATCCAGACATGATACAAATCGTCCAAAACAATCGAAAAGAAAGATGGAAAGGTCTAAGGAAGAGTTAAAAAGATAAGAAGAAAGGATAAGAAGAATAAGAAAAGGAAAGGTGTAATATAGTTCGCTATTAGGTTGGAGGCAATGCTATTGCTAATATAGTTAAGTTTCCCTCAAAATCTAGGATCCAAATGAATAGTGTGCTATCCAGCGTCCAGTTCCTAGTAGCTACTTGTTAGCTACTAGCTACCTCTCCCTACTAGCTACCTCTTCCTAGCTACGGCCTACCCCCCTTAAACAACAAAGATGTTTCTACAAACCACACCCTATTATGTCTGTCCGATTCTCTCGACTACAGGCCTCACTGCGAAGGCTTTGTCACAAACCTTGGAGAGTGTTTACTGCTGTCGCATGGCCACTGCCTCAGATTTTTCAACCGTATTATAACGCAAGTATGTCACATTTGTATGTGTTATTTATGTGTTTCTTCCATTTTCCTCTCTAGCACTGTTTTCGGCATGTTTATGGGATCGAAATTCAGAACGTGAGAGAGATGGGCCTGGCAACTTGCGATGTTCCTCGTGTGATATCAAGCACAAAGGTTTGGGTAAAGCTGCTCAATTTGCCGACTACTCAGAATCAAAGATCTTTCTTTCTTTGTTTCTAATAGCGATGGGAGAAAGCCTTCAAAGCAGCTAGACCTTGAGCCAGAGGCCAACCATTTTGAGTCGCATTGTCCAGAGCGTGATCCCCACAGAGAAAAGGAAAAAGGTCTGTGTGGTGGAGGACCGACAACCCCGAATAACGAAAGAAAGGAAGGAAGGGGAAGGAAAAAGATAGGTTTGAAGGTCCAGAAAGAAGGAACAAGAACAGAGAAGAAAGAATGCGAAAGGATGAGAAAGAACAGAAGAAAGAACCACGACATGAAATGACTCGAGTGCGGATGGAGGGGAGGAAAGGAGCTGTTCTAGTGCCAGGACCCCAAAAAGGAGCTGCTGAAGCATTTCGAGCCGTGCCAATTGGAGGAGGGCTTGGTGATACCGTACAATTCAATTAGCTAATGTTAGTTATGGGCTACTAGGTCGCGCTGTGCAGTATGTTTCTGCAGTGGAAAAGGGCCACAAAGCACAGTGCTTCTCAGCCCTTTACAATACATCGCTACCAGGTTGGAGGCCATCGCTACTAGGTTGGGGGCCCTCAATTAAGTAGACGCCTACTCAATGAAGTAGGGAGAATGGGGGGGAGGGGGCTTAAAATAAAACATATGTGTTTTTGAGTATATGCGTTTCAGCTCTGCGCGTGGGGTCAGGCGCGATATGGTGGCATCCGGCGTGACTTAAAGGGCCATGAGCAGGGAGCCACAGCGATGCCCTTTGCTACTAGTAGCTTCTTGCTCCTAGTAGCGATGCCAGGAGCCCCTAGTAGCATCCTTGTTACTACTAGTAAGGCTCTTGTTACTAGAAGCGATGCACTTGTTTCTACTAGCTTCTTGTTTCTGTCAATGTGTATTTGTGCATCAAGTTTTGCAAAACTACAAACATCTGCAGAGCTGTGACCCAGGACTTATCCTTTTCGCTTCTATCCTGGATGCCGCGGTGTCGTGATGGCCTGGGGGATGATTCGCTAGACATGGGATAGCATATGTGACAAGCATGGTCGATGGTACGCTCATCCTCAAGCAGCTCATTGATGCGTGCTGTTGAGCCGTGTAGACATTTGTCATCAGGACAAGTACTGAAGTGCTCTCCAAAAGAAGGAACAAACAAGCTAGTAGGAGCAAAGGGCATTGCTACTAGGAGCAAGGATGCTACTAGGGGCTCCTGGCATCGCTAAGAACCAGAAGCTCTTAGGTTGGAGGCCATCGCGATTTGTCTTTTTGCCGATCAAGACTGGAGGGCCCCAGGAGAACAAAGGAGGAGAGGATCCCTTATGAAACCCCAACAAGAAGACAGGTCTGGACATCATCCCTTAGTACTCCGAAAGCTTCTCCAATCCAGCATGCTTCCCCTAGTAGCTTCTTGTTCCTAGTAATGGCCTCTAACCTACTAGCGATGGCCTCCAACCTAACAGCAAACATGTTCCAGCATGCGTCTTAAATGTTGAAAGGAAGATAATAAGCACCAGAAAAATCCTCAACAGCTGGGCCTGAATCTGCCTAGTAGGCAGCGGCAACATCACAAGTTCACCAGCAAGTGTTGTGTCTTTGCCACGCAATGCCGTTTTGAAACGCATGAACCTTTTCAATGTACCGTCAGCGCATCACGACACGCAATTTCTTAGCTTAGCACATGTGCCCACATGTGTCAAAGCATTCCAACACCGCAACAAGCAAGATCCAGGGAACCTGCACGACCGGACTGCATGGTTTTGTTTTAGCTTGCTCCTAATTAAGTAGGCGCCTACTCAATTAGTAAGTAAGGGAGAAGTTCGCTACTAGGAGCAAGAACGTTACTAAGGACTCCTGACTACTAGGAGCAAGATTGCTATTAGGGGAGAAGTTCGCTCCAAGTCAGCTTCTAGCAACTGGACGCAGGATGGCTTGCGCTTTTTCAAGGAAGCTCCCCTAAAGCCGGCGAGGGGGAGCTTCCTTGAAGAAGCGCTTGCACTAATGATTCGGTTTTTAGATGTTCAGGGACACCTACTTGAGCACTGCAACAAGTGGATAGAGTCAGCACCAATGCATACAAAACGTTCTTTACATGTGAAACAATGCAACGTGACAGCATGTTCACGTGACCATATCAGCATGCCTGACAACATGTCGGCCTGACACCGTGCGCATATCAGCGTGACAACATGTTAACGTGTCTACACGTCCACACTACATCAAACACAACATGCCAACATCACACCTCAACATGCTATCAGGAGCCCCGCGTCAGAATGACATCATGTTTACAAGGCAGCGAGACCGAGCGACAACATGTTGGAATGAAGGCACGGCATACAAGCACGGTAGCCTGGCGGCATGACAACATGCGAGCATGATGCCATGCAGCATTACACCATGGTGGCCTCCAACCTAATCAGCACAACAGCATGTCAGCATTCTTGTTCCTAGCGCGCACGCGCGAAAAGGTCCTAGTAGCTTCTTGTTTCAATTCGAACTAAATGTGCATTAACTCTAACTCTAATTCTATTGAAATTTGGTTTCTAATAGCTTCTTGTTACTAGTAGTAAGGCCAGGAGCCCCTAGTAGCGTCCTTGTTCCTATTTGCAAAGTGCTCCGGAACCGCTTCGGAACTGCCGAACCTGCTCTGGAATTTGCTCCGATCTGCTCGGAAATGGCTGGAGAGCCTGAAGCTTTGCTGTTAGAGAAAACATAAAATAAGATAAGAAAGAAAAGAAAAGACACATGTGAACAAAGAATCAAGATGAAAAGCAAGAGTTGAAGTTTTGTTGGACGTCCGCAGGGTGCTCAGCGGCTCCCAACATGTGAGAGCGACCGAAGCACCACCAGCAGCAACAGCGGCAGCACCGTGGACACTGAAAGTGAGGCCGGACATGGTGCAGAAGTCATGGTAGCACCGGTGACTTCATGTGTAAAGTGTTTCTTAGTAATGACAGGAGCTACTAGTAGCTTTTTGTTACTAGCGATGCACCTTGCTACTACTAGCTGACTAAAGAAGACTAAAGAAGGCAAAAGAAGGCCAAAGGGAAAGGAGGTATAAAGTTTCAAAAAACAAAGCAACATTGAAGAAGAACTAACAACGATCTAAAGAAAAAATTGATGAGGTGTTTTTGGTCCTCTAAGAAAGAGACCATGAATGAATGAGATCGTGAAACATAGCAAACATACAGCTGCTAAAATGAGAACGGTGTCATCGAAAAGGCAATTTCGTGTGTATTGACACATGTCTTCTGTGCCCCGAGCAGCATCGCTGATATGTGCCATCCTTGACTTGTCAAAGCAGCTGTGATGCGAAGATGTTCCAGGCCACAGGAACTTCTTTACATCACCAAACAGGCTCGCCAATTTATTCAACTCAGAGTGTGTTTGGTCTAGACATACTTGAAGCAATTGGGAGGAAAGCAAGCGAGGGTTCAAACGAACTTGTCACAGCGAGGTCGCAAGTTTCACGAAGGACAGCTTTGGGACACTAGTGTCCAGTTCTCAGAGTGAACAGTTTTGGACGCCTTGCAACGTAAGGGCCCTTTTAATAAGGCCCAAACACCTTCCTGGTTTCTCGATTTGTTTCATTTCTCTTCCTTCAATTTGATTTGTTTGTAATCCTTGACAACCAGGTGACTGGCCGTTGGATCGAGGAGGCGACGGAGTCCAGCCTTCCACCCAAAGCGGCACAGGCGACTCACTGCGTCCGACACGGTGTAGAGTCATCGTGGGTCCGAGGTTTGTTTGAAGAAAGAATAGGAAGAAAAGTTAACAAACAACCAAAGATAGATAAAAAATGAGGAGAATTCGCTACTAGGTTTGGGCCATTGCTAGTAGGTTGGAGGCCATCGCTACTAGGTTGGAGGCCTTTGCTATTGGGTTTGAGGCCATCGCTAGTAGGTTGGGGCCATTGCTAGTAGGTTGGAGGCCATCGCTACTAGGTTGGAGGCCTTTGCTATTAGGTTGGAGGCCATCGCTAGTAGGTTGGGG